TGAAGTATCTTGACAGGAATCTGGATACCTGTTTATTGTTGGACAATGCTAACAATCCATTATCAGCATTCCAAAGCAAACTGTGACTTCCTGAAAGGTGTCATGGTTCAGAGCCCATTCTTCTGGATCCATGTCTTTCTCGCTTAGCCAATCTGCTTGAGTATTCACAAGTCGTATGTGTTGTGCCTTCAGAACTGTCAGGTGTAATTCCACCCATGGGAGAAGAAGCTGAGCTTCATTGTAGAGAGGAGCTGCCTTGGTGCCCCCTTGATGGTTGATGTGAGCTTTTGCTGTCATGCTGTCAGTCCTCACCAAGACCTACTTGTCTTGTAATAAGTTGTGAAAGGCAAACAGAGCTAGTCTGATTGCTCTTAACTCTAGTCAATTTGTGCTGTTCAGCCTCTCTGCAGGTGTCCATTTGTCTTGCACCATGTGTTCCAGGCACCGTGCTCCCCACTCCCTTCTGCTGGCATCTGTGGTCACTAGTATGTGAGACTACTGTAGGAAGCTCACCCCTTTCATCATGTTTTCCTGAGGAGTCCACCATTTCAAGGATTTCCTGAGAACTGAAGTTACCTGAATCCACTTGTAATTTATTTTGATGATGTCTTTTTGGTGAGGTAAAAATGCCCATTGCAAGTGTCTTGCATGGAAAAGAGCCCATGGAATAAGGTCTGTGGCTGAAATTAGGAGACCAAGAATTTGAGATAGATGCATGAGATCCACTAACTTCTGCTTGCAATTTTGTAAAAATTATTATCTCTACTATCTTTTGCTGTTTTTCCTCTGGAAGGAACACTTTCCCCAGTGCCATATTTATCCTAGCTCCCAAATGGACTCGGTCCCTGGATGGGGTAAGATGGCTTTTTTGTAAATTTATCAGGAAACCATGCACCAAGTTGGATTGTGGTTCAGGTATCACTGATCACCGAGTCAACATCCTTGACTCTGATCAGGATATCGACCAGGTAAGGGTAAGATTAGATCCCTTGTTGCCTCAGGACAGCTATTAGTGTCACAATAAGCTTGGTGAAGACTCTCAGAGAAGATAAAAGGCCAGATGATAAGGCTTTGTATTGATAATCTTGAGCCTGGAACAAAAAATGCAGGAACTGTCTGGAAGATTGGTGGATGGGGATGTGTAAATAAGCTTCCTTGAGGTCCAGGGATGTTAAAAAAATGTTATGTTGTACAATGTGAAGGGTAGAATGGAGTGTCTCCATGTGAAACTTGCATTTCTTTACCCACAGATTTAGGCCTCTCAGGTTGAGAATTGGTCTCCAATCACCTGATTTTTAGGGAATGATAAAGAGGATTCAGTAGACTCCCTGGAAGTGCTGATGAGAGGGAACCAGTTCTGTTGCTCCAATGGAAAGGGGGTGCTGGATTGCCTTCAAAAGTAAGAGCCGTTTCTGTTCTTATTTGGGAATAGGAGATGGGATGAAACAATGTGGAGGGGGAAACAAAAATCTATTTTGTTTGATAATTAAGAGAACCCACAAATCAGTTGTCAACCTTTTCCAAACATGGGCAAAGTTCTGGAGTCAGGCTCCTAGCAGGTAGTCAGGCAGTGGGTCTTTTGCTAGAAGCATTCCTGTCTTGCTTTTTGGCTGGGAACTGTCTGTGCTGAAACCTGGGGCAGTAACTGAAGGCACAACTACTTCTGAAGTCCCTGGCCATTGTGCCTCTTGTGGAGGTCCTGTAGTTATAAAAAGAATGAAAAGTTTTTCCCTTTGTGTTTTTGTCCCTAGGAACAGAAGGTATGACTTTCTTCTTCTCTTTAGTTTCTACTAATACTTTGTCTAGTGCTCTTTCCCCAAAAAGCAATCTACTAAAAAACTTCTCTGCAGACAGATTGGATTTATATAAGGAGGTCTCCCTTTCAGTGTTTCAGCCACAAATTTATTCTGACCACCACATTTACTGCTTGTGCTATAGCACAAAATTGCATGGTGTCTTGTGGTGCATCTGCTGCAAATTCAGCCACTCTCTTGATTTTAAGGAGAGACCTCTTAAGTATCAGAGGACATGTCTCCATATCCAGAAGGAGACTATCTGCCCAGATTATGATTAGTCTGGTAAAATTGGATAGAACCACTGAAACCTTAATTGTGAGTGAAGATGCTTCATGTGATTCTTTTAAGAGCTGTTTCATTTTTCATGTCCACCAGATCTTTAAGTATGTTGTCCCCATCTTTAGGCAGGATGGCTCCTGAATAGAGAGTGAACACAAGAGCATCTACTAAAGGGACCCTAAGATCTTCCAATGATCCCTCTGGTAGTGTGTAAATTTTTTGACAAGGCTTGTCAAAGAGTTGCCATTGCCAGGGAAACCTCACTCTGCTCTTAATACATCATCAAAATTTTCTGGGAATGGGCAGACTGACAACCCTTTAGATAATTTCATAAATCCTCTTCCATCCAGTTTGGTGGAGGTTGATGAACTTGGGTTCTCTGGAACATCCAATTGTTAATTTAAAGTAAATATGGCCTTTTAAAATAGCCTTTGGTAATGTTCAGGTTGGAAGAGTCTGGAAGAACAGTCCTTAGAGTCAGAATCCTTCCCTTACCATTCTCCTTATCTGAACTAGATGATAAAAAGAGGTTTTATATGAATGCAACTCCTTCAGAATCTGATCCTGATCCTGTTTACTCTTTGGTGGTGTCTTTTAGGGACAGCTGTAATTGACCACCTGACATATCTCCCGGTGAAAGATGAAGATCTATCGTCTTTATCCACCATCTCCCTGAGATGTGAGTGTTTTAAATTTACCAGTTTTTTCAATTGTTTTGGCCTGGGAGGATGTAAATTTTCCTCAGAGGAGGATGACCTAGGTGAGGGTGAGGGAGAACCTTTCCCCCCTCTAAGTCAATTTTGTCCCTGGGGGCCAGGCACCCTCTGCATATCCCTGGTTCCAGCTCCAGCACCATCTATTGCCCCTGATAACCACCACCCCTGACATGCTTGTGGGTGGGAACATCACTTGAAATTGAGGCATGTAGGACAACGTCCAAGAATGTAACACTTAATCTGCTGTGGCTGGGATAAAAAGAGTGGGTAAAAATGGTGTGGCTGCCATACTGGGGTTTCCTGTGCTTGCTGGGTAATTCTGAAAAGCTGGGATGGCCTGGGAGAAGGGAAATGCTCCCATGAAGGAACCACTCAATCTTTTCTCTGTACCAGTGAACTCATGCCCTTGCTGCTCATGGGAGGGCAGAATCTCACCTCTAGTGCCGTGGAACATTCCCCAAAGACCCAGAAGTTTCTAAGTCCATGCAGGGAAATTCAGCCATGGTAGCCTCCATGTGGTCAGTGGGCATTTGTACAAGCCTTAGTGAGGCTTGAGTCACCAGCAGCAAAGAGGCTGGGGAGAGACCTGAAGCTTTGGGCCTTCCTGCCTTGCTCAGGGTCATAGTCACAACAGTCATGCCCTAGATCTGCCATTCTCCTGTCCTGAAGCTTCATGCAGGAAAGGCTTGTCCTTAGGATAATCTCATCTTTAGAAGGAATATTTCCTTCCTTCCATCTCTTGGCAAATACAATTCTTGCTGCAGTTAACATTTGCATTATTAAGTATATCTCTTTTTTCTTAAATGTATCTGGTATCACGTTTAACAAGCAACATTCTGGGGTCAATACAAAAATTTTCCCTATTGTTTTATCAACAATTTCTTTTACCATGAGCCAATATTTTTTTTGTTTTACTGCATGACCACCACATACGGTAAAAAGTACCGATTGAATGTTTACATTTCCAACAATTTTCCCTATTTTCCCATTAAATTTATCTTAAAACTGTTTGATATAGCAGAAATGGAGAAACTAACGTGTATCATTGAAGATAAGAGTATAGAGAAATATGAAAAATATTGGTCTAGCTTTTATAACTGGTTGAAAGAATCAAAATATGGTACAATTTAAGGAATAAGGCTTGAGTGTGCATTTATAATATTAAGTAGAGATACTTATGTAAAGCTAACAAAGATATCTGCATATATGCAAATTTGTTAAGTAGAAGGTGCTTTTGTGTGTATATGGAAAAACCCTATAAAGAATTTTTTTTTTAAAGGAAAGGCTTGTCCTTTAACAGATCTTTGTTTTTCTTAGATCCTGCCCTAGAGACTCTCTTAGACTTTTCCTCTTCAATGCTGAGGAGATCCAGGAATGGTAAGTCATCTATTAATTAGCCATAAAAGAAATACTAGGCTTGAGCATCCTGGTGGAGCTGCAAGGCTATCAAAACTTGAAAGGCAGCATTGCTCTGATCCAGGAGAGTTCTACAAAATTTGCATAGTTCTGCCTGGAGTTAGAGGACCCGTTCCCTAACCGGTATGGATGACTTCCCCCACTGAAGGAGAACCCTGCTATTTTCAGTGGTAGTATGTAAAAGGCAGAAACATATTTGTGATTGTCCCTTCCCCTGAAATCATAAAAAGTTCCTTCCTTTCTCTAGCCCTTATAATCCCCAGTAAAAACAACCTGTAAACATCTTCCTAACTCCACTATTTCTCTATCAAAAATAATGGCCATAAAGAGGTTCTAGAGTCAATGTAGTGTATGTCATACCAACATAGCCTAAAACCACATTGTTATTGTTCTGACCTGATGCTAAAAGCTTCTAAGTATGTTCTCTGATTTTCAGTTATTTGTTGGTAATACTTCACTGAAGCAGATGCAAAGGACAGTTAATTCAGTGTTTATTGTTTTAGTGATCTTTATAGTGCAATAGTTTTAATGTGTCATTTAGCCAACAATAATACTCCTCACAAATTCTCATTTTATGTCTGTATATACACCACTAAATGGGACATTTCAAGAGATACACACATATTGCCAATATAACAAGCAAAAGCCATAATAAATTATTATTAACAGAAGCAGCTAAGATATATCCATTGAACAAAAATGTTAATTGTAAACAAAAAGACTGAAACATAAACCATTTAATAAAAATATAGATTCTGAAATTCTAGTGATAGTACTAAAAGCTTTCATTTACCTTGTGGTTGACGACTTGGGTGATAGATCTGAAGATCAAAAGGCTGTGCACTAGTTTTTTGTATTACACTAACATTTTGACCTGTCCATTTGTTGGCTTTTGACAATGTGTTTGTCCTCCAGTCTGTCCAATATACTTCACTCCCATATAAAGAGACAGCAAAGGGGTGGGAAAGATATTCATGGCCTCGTATAATTTCAATCATGTCAGTTCCATCATATAGTGCCGAATAAATAGCATCTGATCTGAAACACAACCCAAAATGGGAATTATTTTTTTTTAAAAAAAGAGAACCATAAAGTAATGTAATACTGAAATCACAGCTAATGCAAAAAAGTCTAAGAACATAATTATGACCTCAAAACAATATTAGACAAATTATGAGCAATTATACAACCCATGAAAATACTACATTTTCCTTAGAAAAATGTTGTGAATTCAAAAGTTTTTCCCCCTAATTATTACTGGTAAAGTGTCAAACCATGCTATGGTCAATGTGTTAGTCAATGACGGCGACAAAAATCTGTGACCGTGACTAAAATCTATCATCTGACTGGTTTGTGGGCCTCTACAACATACAAGCACCTGAGCTGTGAGACGTGGATGCCTTCATGCAAGCCCTACGCCACCAGATCAAAGACCAACTTGAACTAGAGAAGGCTCGTACCCACCTCCATGGCCTGAGGAAGGGCAGTCAATCTGGACCTGTTCTCCAGATGCCAGGTCGTCCAAAACAATTCATTAAAACATAACTACTAATAATTAAAATTAAAATTACTGGTTTAAATTACCTACTGGCCACTCGGCAAATAGTTTCTTATTTCAGTGCAAGCTGGGCTCATACCAGAGAAGGTGGTGGTAAGATCTGATTAGGATAAGTCAGTCCCTCTTGGCGCCCATAATGTGAAAGCACCAGGAATCATTTGAAGCAGGGGAGGCCAATGTTGTTACAATGTTGTAGGCATTTGGGGGCCCGGCCCTGCCCCACAACCTCCCCACCTGCCAGCAGCCCCGCAGGCTCCATCCTGGGCTGGCGGTCCCAAGCTGGTAGCGCAGGGCAGCCACGGCATGAAGCGGTGCAAGGCAGCCAGGCCAGCGGGCTGGCAGGTGAGACGGGGGCCAGGAGGCTTTGGGTCCTGTGGCTGAACCTGCAACTACAGAAATTTCTCCCCTTCTCTCTCCAGTGCAAGATTGCAGACCTCTCTTGCTTGCATGCACCTGTGCCCTCATCGCTGAGGAAGCTGGCCGCCACGGAAGAGAGAAACACAGCACTCCCTCAGCTTCCCCTCCTGGGTTTTCCCTTCAGCTCCCGCCTTCTCAGATCAGCTTGGTTGCACCAACACCGGGCACACACAGGCCACCAGCAGCAGCAGAGCAGCCATCTCTGTCCCGTCTGCTTGCCCACCTCTCCAAGTCTGAGAAGTGTTGCAGCAGAAAGCCCCCCTGCAGGATGGTGGGTGGGGGTGTGACAAAGGCAAAGTCACTGTGGAAGCACGGAGTCAGCCAGGAAGAAAGAAATACAGAACCGAAAAGGAGCCCGCCACTTTCACCGTAGTTCCCTGCACTCCACACAGCCAATGCGGTTGCGGGAGAAAGGAGAGGAGGAGGGGTTAGGGTTAGATTGACTTCCACTTACACCCACCCTCCACAATAGGGGAAATAACCCTGTTCCTGCCTGTGAGTGTGAGTTTATTTTATTTTTATTTTATCAGTGCCCCCTGACTTATTTAAAGGCCCCCTGGATTAAGAAATCCTGGCTATTGGCCTGACTGCCTCAATCAATGGCCTAGCGGAACACCTCCATTTTACAGGCCCTGCAGAAATGTAGTAAGTCCTGCAGGGCCCTGATCTCAGTTAGGAGCAATGTTCCCTCTAAGCTGTGGAGTCTTGTGAGCAAAAACTCTACTTTGTGAGCGACTAGCATTAAAGTTGTGAGCGAGTGATTTGGCTGCTGCATAAATTAGTTTGCTCTGGAGCCCTCCTTCCTGAGCTAAGACAAAAATGTGTGAGCCGGAGGCTAAAAAACTGTGAGCTAGCGCACCCTAACTCAGCTTAGAGGGAACACTGGTTAGGAGCATGTTCCACCAGGCTGGGCCCAGGGTTGAAAAAGCCCTGGCCCTAGTCAAGGTGAGGCAACGGGAGAAGGCCTATGGACCCTTTCTCTTTTTCTCTCCCTCTGTTATTTTCCTCTTCTGTAAATCTACAGAATGCTGCTATAAAACTGGCTGCTCCAATTAGATGAAAAGTGGTCAACTCATTCTATTGTCATATTGCACTTGGAAACAATTGAGTTTATTGTAATTTGTAATGTGGGGAGTTTAGCACCGAGGTTAGATGTATTAGGATTTATTATGTGTTCTGTTTTGGGAGCTAGTACTTTTGATTTAGGAACTCACTGAGAATTGATTTTGGGAGGGTTATTTGGGTTTTTGGAGAGAATTTATCGTCTTGGAGAGAATTTATCGCTTTATTACAAGAATAAGAAGATGAAATGAAAAAATGAACCTTGCCTTAAAAAAATCTTTGTTGCATAGCTAAAATAATGTAGTTAAATAATATTTGGATTGTATCGGATTCCTTTCACATAGAATTATTCTTTTTTTCTTTTTTGATGGTAAGGATAAATGATTCCTTGCAAATCAAAGTTAGCTGAAAGTTAACACCATGTTTGTAATAAATAAATAAATGTATTAGTTTATCTCAACTCCAAATCCAGATGAAAACAGTTCACCCATGAATAGTTGTTACAAGAATAAAGAAAACAATGTTTATTTTAAAGGTTATCTTGTTTTACTTCCTGGTTATTGTTTTTGGTGCTTAATATCATTATTCCAAACACTTAAAAACAGTTGAAAGCCATGGAGTTAAAGAGCATGTATTTAAAAATAAGCACTCCAATCCTAAATATGTCCACTAGCAAGGAAGACGCAATGAAAAGGGGATTATATACTAACAATTATACTTATGATAATGCTGTAAAGCAACTAATACTGTGTATGAAATAAGGCTTAAACATGCATTGGCTGAATGTAGGATCTCTTTGCACAATTAATATGGAAATGAACACACACGTTTATTCTTTATCCAGACATCCACCCTCAAAATTCACTTCTATTGTGGGAATATTGCACTTTCTTAACCGCTAGGTAGGGGATATTTGGTACACGGAAAAATCTTTTCCCATACAGTGCATCTATTACTATTATGATTTCTCCTTGAACTATCTAGAGATTTTAGGGACACAATATTTCCTGTGATGTTATCAGTGATTAGCCCAATTGCTCATTTACCATTTGGTACATGGAAAACAATCCATTTTCTCCCACATAGTGCATCCATTGCTATTATGATTTCTCCTTGGAATATATAGAGATTTTAAGGTCACCAACTGAATATTCTCAGTGATGTCATCAGAGATGAGTACAATTGGTCATTTACTTTTTCTATTTTTGTGATATTCCACTTTGCATAGGATTTGTAGCACAATCCTATGCTTAATTATTCAGAAGTAGATCTCATTATATTCAGTGGCAGGTCTGTAGCTACAGTGGTGAAAAAAGGGGCGGCATTGCATCAATCATTTGTCATACCCTTCTAATCAGCACTAAGGGTTGGTGTGAAACCTGTCACAAGTCTTTCTTCTGCCAATGCAGGAGGGCATTTCCCTCCGTCCTCCCTCCCCTGCTTTGCCAATCAGGGAGTGTAGTAACTGGGGTCTATTTTATTTTTTTATTTGCTTATTTTGTGTTTAGTTCCTTGCAGAAGCCCAGTGCTTAGTTTCACATCCTTGAGTTTGAGAAACCCAGATAAGACCACCGGCAGATCATCAGCTTTTGTTGCCTAGCACTGACAACACAAAGACTGGTTTGTTTTTTTTAACTTTTTACTTAGTAGGAAGGCCTTGGACAGCTGAAACTGACTGGGGTTCCCCTGCAATGGCCAAGCATGTGAATATCAATTAGTTTAGTTGTCAATTACATCTGTCAAATACTTTATTTACCTATGCCAAATTCCCTGATTGGTATTGGGATCAGATGAACCTGATTGCTAGTTCCAATTGGTAATTAGTGCCTATGGTCAGGTGTCCCCAGTAGTGGTTAAAAATGAAGTCTTTCTCTATCTTCTTTGTTTAATTGGAGACCCTTAGCTGGTTATGCTACAGGGTACTATTGTTTTTCCATCTGGGACAACCCCGAACCTCTGCTGGATAGATTGAGATTTGGTGGTCTGCCCTGCTGAGCTGCTGTAAACAGATTGATCTTTATTTGTGCTTCAAGAATTTCAGTGGATAACTGGTGCGGTAATAACAAAGGTATTGTAGCTAAGGATATTAAAAACCTTTTTTATTTTCTGTTCACATAGTATGTTGGTATTGCTTTGTACATATTATGTTGGTATTGCTTTGTTGGTATTGCTTTGGGGTTTGCAGAAGGCTTTTTCTAGTTGCCTTTTTTTGGCCCTACCAATATTGTATGTGTGTGTGGAACTCCTGACTCTCTCTCGAGAGGGGTTGGACTTCTATTTAAAGTCCTACAGGAAACGGAACTCCTGACTCTCTCTCGAGAGGGTTTGGACTTCTATTTAAAGTCCTACAGGAAACAGGGTTGACCTTGCATTCCTGGATGAAGCAGGTCTGGTGGCAGCCTACTATGGTTTAGGAGCAAGAGGAACTTGACTCCTGATTTTGTTAATATTGGTCTAAAGTGCTCTGTCCAACAGGAGCTCCAGCCCAACCTCCTGCCAGTGTGGCAAGGGAGTGTTTGAGGCCTGGTGATAACAGCTGGGTCATTGCATTACAGGGAGGGAGTCTCCCTTCCTTCTTCTCCCTCCCTGACTTTCCCTTTGCTTCTTCAACAAAGCAATTGCTCCTGCATGCTCTGAAGCATATGACCCAGTCTTTTTCATGCCAGCCATGATTTCTCCTCATCAGCAGCCCATAAGGTAGGAGCTTTTTCTTTTTGCTTTATTGTTGCTTGGGGGGTGTTAAAAGGTGATTGGAAACAGAGGGGCTGGGCAGCAGCCGCCGCCTCTATATTCTACCTTTCACAAGTGGACTTGTGACCATTTTACAGTGTGTACAGGAACCTGATTTGCTGTTCTGGCCCTTGAAAATGGTTGCCGAGAGGAAGAACTCTGCACCACAAGCCTACAGTGGCTCAGGGCATCTCAACATTTTAAAATCACTGTGTACAACATTTTGTACAAGGTAATAAAAGGTAATGGAAAAAACAAAGTATTTCTTTTTACCAGAGTAAGCAAATTGAAATGGAAAAGGGAGTTGTTGAAGAAGAGGAAGTAGAATCAAAGAAGAGGACCCAAATGGAAGAGTGCGTCTAGAAAAGAAAGAGACTCTACTGAAGGGAAAGGGGCCCCTGGTTTTAGCTTTTTGCCCAGGGCCCATACAAACTTGTAAGTAGCACTGCTTTCAGGTAGAAATACTCTTTGTAAAAAAATGAAGGACCTGAGGTAAAAAGTGTGACTCCTGTCATAAATCTTCCAAGGGTGAATATTCTATGCAATTGGCTAGAACAGAATTAGTAGTTAGCAGGGCTGAAGAGTTCTGATTTTAAAAGCCTGAGGGGGTGGGGGTGGTAACATCATGTTGGAGTAAAGCAAGAGTGAAAGAGATTAAGGAATGAAGGGGTAAAAATGATATTGTAACAGACGCAGAACTGCTTACAACATTGTTTTCATTTTTAAAAATTCAATTTCTGCACTGCTTGGCATAGCATCTGATACTTTTTGCACTTTCCAACTTTTGTAATCCTAGTCCTATTGCATTGCTTATTAGGTCTGTCATGCTACTTGATTACATTGTTTTATGCCATGTAATCCATTTTGACTCTCAAGAAGAGAACTGGTAAATTCTTTATTATTCATTTAGGTGCAATCCTAAACTGGTCTATATTTGACAGTATTTCCTATTTTACCCAATGAAGCTTACTCCCAGGGAAGTGTTAGAAGTATACCCAAAGACATATAGAAAAGGATTAGCATACCTAACATATATTCTGAAAGAAATGCAAAACTAATTTTTACCTAGCATCTGTCCAAACAATTCGTTTTTCAAAGTGATCAACAGTGAGTCCATTAGGCCATGCTCCACTATCCATATCCTTATATATGATCCTTCTTCCTGCTCCACTCATGGAAGCAGATTCAATGCGAGGAAAGTTAGCATCCCAGTCAGTCCAAAACAAAATTCTGAATGATACAAAGAAAAGAAACAAAATAAAACTTACACCAGAAAGAGAAACAAATAAGCAAGAGACATCATTTAAAAACAGTAACAACTTATTTGTAGTTTTGGCATAGGTGAAATATTGTAGTTATGATAATACTAACTAAGGATGGGCACAAACTGGGAAACTGGTGGTTCATTGGGGTTCGTGGTTCATTTGATTAAACAAACCATGAACCACAAACTTAAACAAACCTAGCAGAACTGGGAGAGTTACAAGTTCTTTCAGAGCTGTTCTCTCAACAGCATCCCTCAAAAGAGCTCTCAGCCCCACCTACTTTTACAGGATATCTGTTGTGGGGAGGGGAAAAGGAAAGGAGATATAAGCCGCTCTGAGACTCCTTCAGGTAGTGAAGGGTGGGGTATAAATCCAATCTCTTCTTCTTCTTCTGGCTGAGTGGCCCAACTTGGAGGTAAGCTCCAAAGGCCGTGGGCTGGTGATGGGCTCTGATGCTATTTAAATGTATTTATGTATTTATTTCAATTTTTATCCTGCCCTCCCTGCCAAAGCAGACTCAGAGCTCATTTTCGGGTGGCCCACTAGACCTATTTAAATGCCTTCTGAACCCAAGAATGGGTGTCCCACGAACCTCCATGAAAAACATGGATGTTTGTGGATGGATTGTGGGAGACACATTCTCCCGAACCCCTGGTTCGCGAACCACGAACTGGCCTGGTTCATGCTCAAACCAGGGCTTGTTTCAGGGTTCATGCCCATCCCTTATACTAACTAGTAAATGAACCCACACCAAATATAGTAGAACAATCTCACATACACCCACACACCAGATGCATATATTTCATATAACTATACCTATGAAACTATCTTATTAAGATAGAACACAAATCATTGAAGCTACCAAAAAAGGAAAATTCTCATATTTGATAAATGTAAACTGAGTGATATTTTGTTGTATTGTTTGGAGTGACATTTGTAAGTTATGTGGTTGTAAACATTGCTGAAAACTATAATTTTATTCTTCTGTGTACCTCAAAAGAATGCATATTCTAACCAACTTATATTTGTTCAGTAAAACACATAATGGCTTATGTTTCATTCTTCTCTTTGTCCAGCCATGCCTGACTCAAATTCAATACACATGATATCTGTCTAAACAGATACATTTAATATTATTCAATGTACCAAAGGAAATGCAAATTATTCAACAGGTAAGGAAGCACCAGAAAACAGCACTGTTGAAAGTATTAATGGACAGCACACACACCCTACCTACATATCAGTCTGCAGCAGAATTAAAAATGAACATAAACCACATCCTGAGTTGTTTCTGGTAGAAAACAGGTGCTCCTATTCCCTTGTGTAAAGTAATTGGCTGCAGTAAAAGTGCTGAAGAAAATGGTAATTATATTGCCCCTGGTGACCACAGATGCAATGGATCATGTTTATGGCATCAGGAATCCCATGATTCCTGATGGCCCCAGATATGCTGTGCAGCATCAATAGCTTGCCAATGCCTCTTCCTCTGTCCACCATGTTCAGGTAAACTGGGGAAATGGAAAGTGGCAGCAGAAAACGTGCTAGGGAGTAGTTGAGAGAGGTAAACCAAATGCAACAGAGGTTGCACCAGTACTGGAATTCATTTGAAATAGACTGGGAAGAATTAAACCATTTTAATAAGATGCCTAACTACTTACCCAGTAGACCCTACCTTATCATTAGGTGATAATGCTTATAGAGGGGACAAGATCTTTTTACTTTTCTCCTGCTGGATACATGAGTAAAAAGATTATATTGGTTATCAATACATTCCATTCCCCCACCCCCTTAGAATGCTCTCTGTCTTGTAATATTGTAATATTAAACCAGTACAGATATGGGCTCTTTACATTCTAGTGTCAAGGTAAGAGTGAGTAGTGTTACAATGTAATCAATGCTAAATGAATGTAGATCTACATGTACCGTGGGCACGTGACTGTATACTAGTGACTAGTAAATGGACATGTGAATGGACGAATATTAATCTATATATCTAATTCCCAACATGGTCCCCTGCATGTGGATACTTATTTCCACAGATCAGGGGCACATGGAGGGAAAAGAGATTATCCTGCACATTTGGGGCACCCCCCCAGCTGTGCAGAAAAATCTAAAAAAAATTTTTAAAGGATACGGGGATATTTAAATCCCCCCAAAAGTACAACAGCTTTTCTGCTCATGCGCAGAGAAAGGACTTTCCAATGACGAGGAGCTTTCTCTCTCCTTGGAAAGTTCTGAGCAGGCGACTGCCCTTAGCAACAGCTTTCCTAGCGATGAGGGCTTTGCAGGCTTTCCCACTTTTGGGAATTCGGGAGCAAAGAGGGATGGAAAGCAGTGGGTGGCTTTATGGCTGAGCCTACACTGGCTCAGCCTCCCAGGCACTGCCACCACTGCTGGTCTCAGGGGAAAAGGAGGGAAATAAGAAGGGGTGATTGCCTTGGGGGGGGGAAGAGAAAGGGAAATATGGGGGTATTTGCTTGGGGGGGAGAAAGAAGGGGGTTGGCTTGCAGGGGGGAGAGAGAGATCAACTTGGTGGAGGATTGTAAAGAAAAAGGATGGACTGGCTTGGGGAGAGAAAGAAAGCGAGAGAGGGAAGGAAGCAAAGGTGGGGGAATGCCTCCTCCCCACAAATTTCTTGCGGGTCCACCCTTGTTGTGAATAATTCTGAATGCATTCTTTCCAGTAAATCTTTCATGATTTGGTAGTTACTTAAGGTTCAATTTATTATCTACTCCATTTGGAAGCCAAATTATCCCTTTTATTAAACTGCAAGGATGGGCCAAAACAGACATGATCAATGCTCCCTCTAAGCTGTGGAGTCTTGTGAGCAAAAATCCTACTTTGTGAGCTACTGGCATTAAAGTTGTGAGTGAGTGATTTGGCTACTGCATAAATTAGTTTGCTCTGGAGCCATCCTTCCTGAGCTAAGACAAAAATGTGTGAGCCAGAGGCTAAAAAACTGTGAGCTAGCTCACAGTAACTCAGCTTAGAGGGAACACTGGACATGCCATGAGAGATCTGTGAACAGGATACTCCATGATTTTCAAAAAGCTATTCCGCTGTCCAAAGTGATTAATTTGAAGGTCAGCAAAGGATTGCTGGGTGCAAGGGTGCTGTCTCCCCTTCAGTGCTTCTTTGATGATTTAGAATAGCCATATGTGTGCCTTCAATGGTCTCTTTATTTATTTAGGATATTTCCATGCTACCGATTCAGAGTCCTGCTCAAGGTGGCTTGCAATTAAAATGTCCAAATATTAAAAACAAGCCATTGGACAGCATAAAAGCTATCCATAAAACTGTGGCAGTCCATTAAAAAGCTGTTAAGATAAAAATCACTAATGAAATGCTTCAGGAAAACAAGATGTGTAAGTGCCAATCGAGCCTTACATGGGTGAGGTACCATCACAGAAAAAGCTCTCTAGTCACTAGCTGCTCACCTCTGAAGGTGGGGGCATGGACAGCAGCGTTTGAGAGGCAGATCTTAACTAGTGGGCTGGGTAGTATGGGAGGAGATGGCCCTTCAGGTACCTTGACCCCAAGCTATTTACGGACTTGAATGTAAGAACCAGCACTTGGAATTGTGCCTGGAAAGATGGGTAACCAGCACACATCTTTCAGCACAGGAGTGATACAACCTCTGTAACCAACCCTTGACAATAGCCTAGCTGCTGAATTCTGACCAAATGAAGTTTCTGAGCTATTTTTAAAGGCAGCTCTACATGCAGTGAATTACTGTAATCTAACTTGGATGTGATAAGAACAAGCAGTCCCCCAAGCAGTTACTTCATTGACCGACAGCACCTCAGTCTTGTTTGCATTGAACTTCAATTTACTGGCCCTCATAGAGCCCATGACCTCCTCCAGACACCTATTCAGGACTTCCACAGACCATCATGGCTTAACTTTTAAGGAGAAATAGAGCTCGGCATCATCTGACTCCTCACTCCATATCACCAGATGACCTCTCCCAGCTGTCTCATGGAGATAACACTGGGGACAAGATGGAACCCCACAGTATATCTGCTATATGGCTGATCAGCAGTCCAATCCCACCTCTTTCTTGGAATTGGTTGGTTAAATAAGAGTGGAGAACCATCGACACATCATGTCCCCCATTCCCAACACAGCTAGCCTCGCCAGAAGAATACCATGGCTAATGGTACTGAAAGCCTCTGGGACATCCAGGAAAATCAACAGGGATATATTCCACTATCATTCTCCTGGTAAAGGATGTAAGTCAGGACAACAAAGACCATGTCTGTCCCAAAGCCAGGCCTGAATCCAGCTTGAAATAGGTTGTCTACTCCAAGATGGTCTGATTCTATGTAGACTCCACCCACTAAAGCACCTTGTCCAAGAATGGAATATTAGCCACTTGACAGTAGTTATTTAGATAATTTGGGTCCAGGGATGCCTTTTTCAGGAGGAGTCTCACAACCACATCTTTTGGAGAGGTTGGAACTGCACCCTCCCACAGAGAAGCACTTATTTCCTGGACTCAGTCAACAAACCCTAGTCAGCATGATAATGTTAGTGATGGGCGGTAAGGATCACTACTGGATGTGGTAGGCCACACATTTTGAAGCACCTTGTCCAGTTCATCAAATCTCTCTGACTGAAGGTCATCCATATAAGCAGGATTAGATCGTGCTCCAATACACACAAAATTTACTGCATTTTTATATGGGTATTTTAAATTGTGGAAGAAGCATGGGAGAAAAGAGTCAGTGTCCTCTCATGCAGCACCCATCCTTCAAAGAAGCTGCTTGCTAATTATTTTTTAAAAATGGAAGATCCTAACCATGAATTTTTATTTCACATTCATTTAGGCCCTAAACCAGATGTTAGGATAGATAGCATACAATAGGCAGGACAGTGGGAAGTAACCATTGGTCTTAGAAGAGCCAAACATAACTCTTGCCAGCTTCACAGCTTAATTTTCCTCTTTAAACAACAAATGTAATATGACTTGCCCACTTCATTTAAGAAGCATTATCATCTCCCAATTTAAATAGGACTAAAAAATATATGGGGGGAAATAGCCATTACCTTTATAATGGTTATGGACACATATAGGGCTGCGGTGGCTCAATTGTTTAAGACACTGAACTGCAGACTGGAAGGTCAGTAGTTTAGCAGTTTGAGACCCGAGTGCCACAGGATGGAGTGAGCTCCTGTCTCTGGTCCCAGCTTCTGCCAACCTAGCAGTTTGAAAGCAAGAAACTGCAACTAGATAAATAGGTACTGCTTCAGTGGGAAAGTAACAGCGTTCCCTGTGCATCAGTGTCTAGTCATGCTGGCCACATGACCACGAAAACATCTACGGACAGCGCTGGCTCTTCAGCTTGGAAACGGAGATGAGCACCGCATCTCTAGAGTCGGATTTGACTGGCTTTCGAACAAGGGAAACCTTTACCTTTACACATATATACGGAATGTCTATTTCTGTTGATTTAAGAGAAAAAATGTGAAAATTATGCAAGGGAAACCTTTACCTTTACTATGGACACATATATATGGAATGTCTATTTCTGTTGATTGAAGAGAGAAAAATGTGAAAATTATATAGTGCTGGTATCTGATACTGTACAGATTATTTCATATATACCTGAATAACAGGATTCATGTTATAGATGTAATTCAACTCAGTCAAATTTATTACCTTTTCTTTGGAGTTCTAAAATAAATTCTTTTTGGCACCAGATTTTTTATATGTTTTAGAATTAACGGGCCATGATTTACCATATGAGACTGTGGTTGCATTGCTATGCTATGTTTAAGATTGCTTACCTGCCTGACAGAGAGCTTTGAATTAGACTCAGCTTGTTAACTGCTGCAAGACAATGTGTAATGTTCTGCTGGATATCCTCTGTGGCCCCCAATATAAACAACTGGATTATGAGAGCATGGGAAACTGTTCCCATGTCTAAACTGACATATCAAAATTGAATTACAAATCAAGACGGTATAACAGTTGATAAATTCATGGACACATGGGCTTTGTTTATAATGTCATTGAATGACAGAGTTAACACTGGTTTTTCTCCTTTTGTATTTTTTGACACTTTGCAATGAGTGATTTTTTGTATCTTCCCCCTTTTCTTTTGTATTTTCCCCCTTTTCACAATCATTATTTTTAAAGGGGAAATAATTTATTTTAAAATGTACTTATTATCTCCAAATTACATTCAGACATTGAAAGCTATGCTAGTCTAGTCAAAACTAACACAATGAGTGAAAAATAGAGAACGGAAGAGCCCCATTTCCCAGAATAGATTCAAAAATTGTTGTATCAAATTAGGCTGAAGATTACCAGACCAAAGAACAAAAAAAAAAGGAGTTCGCATTGAATTAGAAACCTATTAATTCCATTGTGTTGTAAACAAGGATTTAAATTACATATAATTACCCATATCTCGGATCCAAAGCAATAGCCCTAGGATGCTCCATGGCACCTGCTATTAGAGTTGTTCTTAGCGTGCCATCTAATTTTGCAACTTCAATTTGGTCCAAATTGCTGTCTATCCAGTATATATTTCCAGCAATCCAGTCCACAGTTAGACCTTCAGGTGTAGCTAAACCATGTTGGACCACAACTTCAATGGAGCTTACCCCTGTGAAAATATTGGGAAACATCCTAAAGCACTGAATTTTATAAACACATTAACCAACTTTAAAAATTCTAAAGCTCTGCTAATGTTAAAAAAAAAGCATAGCTAAAAAGTACTTAAATGTAAATATGATCAAAAATGCCATAGAATGTCCTGAACTGGATAGCCCAGGCAAGCCTGATCTCATCAGATCTCAGAAGTTAAGCAGGGCTGACCCTGGCAAGTACTTGGAAGGGAGACCTCCAAGGAATACCAGGGCCAGGACACAGAGACCGGCAATATCAAGGCTCATCTATGAAACGTCCCAGAAACCCCCCCCCACACACACACACACCAAAAATGCCATACAATGGTAGCTTTATTTATCTTCGTGCATCTTTCCTCATGCCTGGTGATCCAGGGACTAGCCATTTGCTGCACATGGTTCATAAACATTACAACTTCTCAGTTTCTTCTAAAGGAACAGATGCTGCTGCACAATACTTATTAACCCTTCAAACAATGTGTTACCTTTTGTAATGTAACTCTTTGCATCTTCTGCTCCCAAGTTGTGAGCAACCAAAAGATTGGGGTTCTTAGCAGTCAGCTATCACCCTGCAGATGGGCAGTTGGCATTCACAGAGAAATAAGACTATACACCATATATCTATATCATCTATCTATCTATCTATCTATCTATCTATCTATCTATCTATCTATCTATCTATCTATCTATCTATCTGTTGTTCAGTCACACATTCAAGTCCGACTCTTCGCGACCCCATGAACCACATCACGCCATATCCATCCATCCATCCAAATATCCCAGGAAACCAGCCTGGGAAAATATTTGGTAAGTGATTAAAAAGGCTGATTTGCAAAGCATTTCCTTTCTCATCCCAAACATAACGTATACTTTATAACAATTGATTTCTTGCGAAAACAACACTTTACATTAACATATTTCATCCCCCTGATCTGCTTCCACTTGACACATTTACCCTGTTAGCATATCCTTAACACCTAGAATTATCTCCCCATCCTGTATTTCTGAGGGTCATCAACAGATATTATCAGTCTTGGGAAAGCCAACAAGTTCCATTCAGACCTTTTATCTCCTTCCTGGAGAGCAATCAACCATTTGTCCAAGTCTTTGGGAACCTTCCTGTAAACACATCAGTGCTATTATTTTAGGGCAAACTTGTCACATTGCCCTAAGGTATATTTTTCCTATGACTACATGGACCCATCTCCTGTATTCACACTCTTTTCTTGGTGTCAGCTTCACAGTCTGTGAAACGCTGGTCACTTCTCTCTCTCCCACAGACCTGAAACTTAAAGACTGGTAAGTATAGCCTATCCTAAACTATTTTTGGGTAAAATGATGTGAGAGTGCATGTGGGTGTGCTAGAACCTGCTTGTGGTATACTCCAGCTGTCTTCCTTTCTGTTTGTCAGAGATAGCCCTAGTCCCCTTCCTTTCTATCAGTTAGATAATCCTGTGACCCATTAAACCCTCCAGTGGTCTGACTCAATGAAGTGGGGGATTGCTGTGTGTGCTCACATATGGAATAACAATCATCCCTTCACCCAGCCTCAGCAAATGCCTCTAGCTTGGCTAGGTGTGTGGTATTTCTGCATGGATGAATGGCCTGGCACCACTGGTGAGAGTTCTGCAATATGAGCTCTTTACAGGAGAAAAAAAAGATATTTAATAACTAACAAACATCCTCTACAGAATAATAACACAAAATCATGGAAATGTGGATCAGAACACAGCAGAGGTATTACAGATAACTAGTAAATAAAAAGCAATATGGCTAAATTACACTGGTTACTGAGTTACTTTGGCATTTCTTTCAAAGAAATAGGCACAAGACAATGGGAATGCTAAAGCAAAGAATGGACTTGGCATTGGCACAGACTTTAACTCTGTTCCTTCCCACTGCCCATTTAACCCTCCTTCAGCTGGGAGGCATTCTGTTTGATCAGTGCTGTATTGGGAAGCTGAGTTACTCATTTCCCACCAAGCCACATGTGACTAACCATCCTTTTAAGGCTTGGGGCTGGATTATTAAAAGTAATTACTCTTCCCCTTCCTGACAGGGAAGCCAAATGGGTTCCTTATTCACAAATGGGTTCCCAGATTCCCTTGAATAATTTGGCATTTTAACTTAATCTCATAATTTATCTCATAATTTGAGGCCCAGCGTGTTGTAGTGGTTAGCATTCTGGCCTAGGATCTGGAAGACCCAGGCTCAAATTCCCACTATACCATGAAACCTGCTGGGTGACCTAGGGCAAGCCACATACTCTCAGCCAAACCTACCGTATAGGGTTGTAGTGATGATAAAATGAACAAGAGGAGAATTATGTACGCTGTTCTGAACTCTCTGGAGGAACAGTGAAATAAAAATCTATGAAATGAATAATCTTCAGAACATGCCACAAATTCCCATCTGGCAAGAACAGCATACCAGTATAGGGGGTTACAATATTGAACTGCCTGTAGTTTTGTCTGAAAAAAAAAATATTTTTCTCTGCCCATTTCTGTCAGTTACCAGTCCCCTGTATACATGTTTGGTGTATAGGCAGAGCAGCTAACAGCCAATCAGAACCCACAGATGGCTCAGGAAGCCAGATGGGAGGGAAAATGAGAGAGAGAAATATGTTACACTTTAAGTTCAGATCAAATATGGTTTGTGCTTAAAGAAGGATAGGCTAAAAATCCTTTCTCAGGAGACTTTGGATGTCTCAAAGTCTGTCTTTTGTGAAAAATCAGACTATCACAATGAATGCTTCAGGAAGAGGCTATCTATATCAGGGCCTAGTTTTTCAGGAAAAATGGCTACATATTTGTGATTTCTGGGGGAGATCACATTTACAATCTGAGAATCCTGAGGCTGAAGGAAGGCCACTATTCACATGAAGAATAAAAATCTGGATGATAACTGTTTTATGCACCCAGCAGTTGACAACTGACACATTAAAACTTAATGAGCCCAGCAAAAGTTTTGTGTTACTTGTAAGCTGCCCTGAGCCCGCTTGCAGGGAGGGTGGGGTAAAAATACTTAAATAAATAAATAAATAAATAAGCCTCTTAATAGCCAATAATACACCTATTCTTCATAAATGTTTTTAATTCCCCTTTAAAGCTATTTGAACTACAGCAGCAATTTCCAAAATGTTCATTATGTGTTGTTTATTTTGATCTTTTCTGAACTATAGGCAATCAATTTCATTTCTCATGCTATAAAACAAAACAACAAAAGGGGAGACATCTCTCCTTATCCTCTTTTTTCACACACCTTTTTCCTCACATGGAAAGTGCACCAGTTCCCTACCCTTTTCATCCATTTTGCCAAATTGATGATATTGCTATACCCCTTCCACTTTGAGAAATTCCATGGACATCAGTAGGGGTGTGCAAAAAAAAGAAGGTATTTTCCAGGTTTGGGTGTACTGAACCTGAAACATATAGGTATTTCCCAATATTCCTGAATCCCAATATTAGTATGATATTGGGATTTGGGAAATAATCGGGATTGCTGAATTTATTCATCTCCATTATACCCCATGGGAACCATCCCCATAGGGTATAATGGAGAAGGGATTTAAACTTTAAATGCTTGCTGAGTTCACTCGCCAAGTTGTGGTGCCACGGCGGCGTGACTCTGTGAGTGAAGTCAACAAGCATTTAAAGTTTAAATCCTTTCTAAGCTCACTCACCAAGTTGCACTGCAGTGCCAGCATGACTTGGTGAGTGAAATCAGCAAGCATATAAAGTTTAAATACCTGATCAGTTCACTTGTTGAGTCATGCCACCATGGCGGCACAACTCGGCAAGTAAATTGAACTCAGAAGGCATTTAAAGGTTAAATGCTTACTCACTTTACTCGCCAAGTCATGCCACTGCAATCTCTTTAAATGCCTTCCAGCCAGGCCTAAAAAAAATCTGATTAAAATCTGATCTGTATTTGGCTGAATAAATACCCTAAAAATACTGATATTTATTTGGCTCAGTATATACTGAGTGCACACCCCTAGACATCACTTACCAGGGTTGGCTCCCTTTAGAAGAGGGAGCACTGGAGACTTATAACAGTTTTTGTACTATTTGCTTTTTTTATAAATATACAAGTGAAAGCAAAGATGCATGCCTATAGGGTAGCAGATGTGCTACCCTACATTAGATGCCAGAAAGAGAGGTTCTGCCCCTCCCAAGGTGCTTCAACCAATTTATAGCAGTCTCTGTTTGTGTCTGTCTCCCTTCCCCCACCAAACTCCAACTGTTTTATCTTCACACACCTGCCCTGTCCATGCACCTGAAAAAAAATGATTACTTCCAAGTTCTCATGGCTGCTTCAACAGAGCCATCAATGGTTCATCATTAACAATCACCCCCCCCAAGGAAATATTTACAGTAATTAAGGAACAGTAACTTCCTTTAGCTAAAGGCCCAGACCCTTTGGACCAAACCCATTACAACACCTTTTTAAGATGGGGTGAGTAGCCCTGTATATCCACTGTTGTCCATGCCCCTATCTTCAGAGGCCAGCCATACTTTCACCATCACTGCAAAGTGAACTATCTTACTGAGCTATCTTCCATGACATATGAAATCTTTCCTGGATGGTTATTGCTAGTCCAGACCCCTTCACTATGGTTTTTGCTCCAGAATGCATGCCTGCACATTTGATCATACTGAAATTAAGTTGCCATGGGCTTGCCCATTCACTCACACCAGAGAGATCACCTTCTTTTTGTGCTTGACTTTTCAGTATCCTGAATAATTTGGTTTCCTCAGAAAAGTGTGCCACTTTTATTGTTTACCTGACTCCAGATTTTTTAAAAGATTAAGATACATAGCACCAGTATGACAATACATTCATCACCTATGTAGATTGAACGTGAAATGAGGTAACCTAGACTCCCATCCACCAAGAGCTAAGATATCTTAGCACATATATATGTACAAATACAACAAAGACCAGCAAATGTACTGGGATCAAAAAATTAATAATA